TTTTAAGAAAAAACTATAACAAAAATTCAATAGTAACGAATTTCTTATAGTTTTTCTTATATTACAAAAAATATTTAAAGCTTTCTTTCTCCGTAAGATATTAAAACTCAATCAAATATCTAGAATTTGTAAAAGCTGATGCAACAAAAATTAGTTATAATAACACAAAAAATCATCTTTTTCTTTTTATTTAAAAAAAAATAATAATAACACAAAAATTAAATTAATTCATTTAAGTTATTTTTTATATCATCAGTGTTTTTTTTTTTTGAATAGTCAGGACAATACGTTAGTTATTTTTTTTCTTTCGCTAACCAATAATGCGTTTGTTATTGTTATTAATACATCAATGTAACAAGTTCTTTTGCTTCAGAGAACTTGTTAAGAACTTCAGTGTAGCAGATTGTGGATGAAATATTGAAGAACTTCATTAACAGGACTTCTTGGACATGCTTCACAGATGCATCTTGAAGGAATTTACAGTTTCTTCTGCATGCCTCAAACGTGCTATTGAAAATACGGTAAGGGATTGCTTCCATGTTAGAATCTTATGAGAAACGTAGAAACTGATTTATGAGGAACTCTGTAGTTGAATAAGCAAGCTACTTTCTCTTATATATGCAGACAAGATGTGGTGACAAAGCAGTGAACGCAGCAGCAATTCAAACCCAATTTCAGATTGCTTTTAGGTCAGCCCTAGAGTCCTCAATCATACGTGGTTTTGAGAGCGCATGCCAAACTATGTTTCAGCAAATAGACAAAACATTTGGTAAAGGAATGATTGAGCACACCAACGCATCCCTCCAACTAGACGACGCTTCACTCTCTCCGCTACTTTACACGTTAAATGTATGTTGAAAATCACCTATCATAATTGCTAAATGAAGTCATTTCTTACTACAATCATGCTGGTTTTTCAGGAACTCATAAAGTCTTCGTTATCACTTACTCAAGACTTAAGACGTGAATTAGAAGGAGAGAGTTATCTAGGATCTGAAAGTGGGCTAATGAGAGATTAGGGTACTCTAGAATTCATCTTTATAGTTTGTTCTAAAGTTCAAAATCGGGACGAAATTGCTCAGCTAAATCAAAATCATGAATCAACCCAATCAGCCAAAATTGTATTTGGTTATATAATTGAAAGAGATAACAAAATGACTAGATAATAGATTTTGTTTATAAATGAGAAATTGGGTGCAATGACCAAAGGAAAGAAAAACATTATATAGAAAAATGGTTATAATTGATTTTTAAAATGAGTATTTTCATTTATGTTGTCATTATTTCTAATACTGAATATTTTCAAACATACAAAACTATCATATCAAAACTCAAACAAATATGTGGAAATTGTAAAAGCTAAATTTTTAACTTTGTATGCGACAATAATCATTTACTAATATGTTTTGAAATTTACAATTTTTTTTTGGGAGTTTTTGCCTATAATATTTTCGATCATCTTTTTTTGCTTGTGATCATCTTCATCATTTTCTTTTCACGGAAGAGGAAACAGAAGTAAGGGCAATTCAACAACATATTGGTAAACACACAGTGAACTTGAACG